GAAAAATGTATGTTGGATCAGTATTGTTACATGCACCCCATGACTTATAAAGTATTGTGCCGTGCGCTAGTTAGAGAAATTGACATTTTTGTTGACCAACATTCAGTTTTTGAAAAAAACAAGAGTTATTTTATTTTGTCTTGTATATGTTTTTACGCTTATCTAATATACATTGTATACCTATATTAGTGTGTTAATTTCTTATTCTATTTTCAAATGTTGATACCTACCAAGTGTAAACATAATTTATTTTATTCATAGATACCTAATTGTTATTGAGTTATACATATATATATATATATATATATATAACTTGTAAGTTTTAATCAAAATTAAGGATCAGATTTTCATGTACTTGTTATTTATAAAACCAAAATATGTAAAAAAATTAAAAATATGGCATAAACACCGGGTATATATATGATAATATTATGCTAAACGGTTTATAAGTTGAAAGATTTACATTTTAAGAAAGCGACTTCGTGTAAATCCTTAAGATTTTGAAATTAAACGATCTACTTGAAATGCACTATAATACTGGATTATTGTTGTTATATGGTATATGCATGTAATATTTTTATTAGCTACACTAAAATTATAAAAATACTATAAGTATATCATTTGTCTATACTTGGTACTAAAATTGAATTTGAAATTATTGTCACAAATATAAATTCCTGCAATATACCTGTATGTTAAAATATATTGCTTATAACTTTATGTAAGTTCGTTTTGTTCAGTCATTTGAAATGTAGATTATGCCCACACATATAAACCCAGCTAGTTATAATATTATTACATATTAATTATTAGTAATTTGCATACATTATTTTACCTATTCAAATAGACAATGATGTACGTAATTATTGTATGGCATACACTGTGTTTAATGCAAATTAATGACATATAATATATCATACATTATAAGTACGCATTTTGAAAATATAATATAACATTAGTCAAGATTCGCTTAAATATATTATGTTAATAAAATATGTATATTTGGTTATTTGGAACTGTACTTAATCGGTCATCTTTACAGTGAATACAATTGCACATAGTACTAAATCATAAATTCAGACATTCAGTGGGTTTGTATAGTTACATTTTATTGTAACACATAACATGCAAACGATTTTACCTATTTTATACATTGTTATATATATTATATACATCATACATATAATATCATTGACCATTTTGAAGACAGTGACTCATTCGTAAGTGAATAAATAACATTATAATATATATTATAAGTACCTATTCGCTATACATTTGGTCAGTTTTTGTTCACTCACTAAGCTGAATTGTACTACGTTCCATCAGAATTGTGATATTAAGAGCGGTGTCGTTTGACACATCAGACAAAATGGTGCAAGAACTTCTAATAAATCAAGATTTTTGAAGTCGAGCAATTTATTATTTTATAACAGCATCATTGATCATACATCTATTTATACCATTATAAGGGGACCGAAAGCGGCAATTTATATTAAGGGGTTGTGTGTGTTTGTGTATGTGGGTGTGTGTATAGTCAATCTTGTATTGTGCATGCATTACGCTTAAGCGGCGTGTTTGTTGTACGAGAAGTAAATGCTTGTGTGTGCGAGTAAATCAGTGTGTGGCCCACACATACGTGCCAACAAACACATGTCACTTGATAAGAGTTTAGGTACCGCTGTAGAATATTACAATAATCTGTTTCCTACACAAGAGCAACGAATCAGACCCATAAACCCTTATAAAATTATGACTTCTAAGAATTATTCGTTTTTAACTCCATGAGAATATTTGAGTAGGTACCACCTATATATAGATCATTATTTTTTCAGATTCTCCGCGTTATCATGGTAGTAAAGTTTTAGTTCAATATTTCAATGTATAATTTTTTTCTTTTTTGGATTAAATCGATATAAATATTTATTTATTTTATTATATTCACTTTTTAATAACAAATATTATGCCTGAACATGCGTTTTTTCTACTTGAAACGACGAAAAACGATTTCTATACAATAATCTATAAGATAAGTCACATTAAAATCGGATTATTTGAAGTAGTTGTAATTTTGTCAGACTTAAATAGGATTTTATAGGACTGAATAGTAAAAAAAAATATCACTTCAGAAATAGATTCTATTGATATCTATAATTGTTTTTCTAATTTAGTGATCATGTAGGTATATACAGTTTTATTAAAATTATAAATTCGCTTAATACGTATGCTTGAACATACACACAACTACCATAGACCTCGTTGAGTATTTTAATAAACGTTATTTATACACTTTTTATTATCTAGGTACTTTGTAAACTTTTGTAATACTTTACAAGCGATTTGTATTTGAAAATATTAAACATGATTTTTTCAATACACATTCATCAAGATAATGATGAAAAATATACCGTTTAATCTGTAGATTTGTTTTAGAACGAATAAAGGAATATTTACAGAATTTTACACAGTACCTATACTACAATACGTGGTATTTGATATAAGTTTTCTTAGTGTACTGCATAGGTATACTTCTGTAGTGCTGTTATAGGTATTTTTTTTTTATTCTTATATCCTTATATTTGAAAGTGTTCTGTATACAAGTATTTTTTAATAGTTAAATGTCAACTACTACCTAGTAACTAGTTGCTGCAATACGAATGCTAACATGCATACGTCATACATACAATGTGCAATGTGCATACATACATATAAACATACATACATACATACATACATACTATATACATATTACAAACAGTTATACATACATACGTAACGCATGCACACTATAATATTATTTTATTATTATATTATAGTCTCTGTACTGTGCGTAATTCCCGTTATTGTATCATATAGGTAGTATAATGTTTGGGATTCGACATTTTGATCGTGGGGCGTAAGCGATTTGGCAATTTGGTATACTAACACTATATATATATATACACACACACACACTACACGAAGGTATATGGAAAAATCTACCTGAGGCGACATAATGCTGGGTGGATACACATATTATAGGGTGCAGTGATATAATAAGGGGCAAACGTTCCAAGCCACACATTTTTTCTTCATGTTATACACAAACGATTTTTTGTTGAATCAGATTTACAGAAAATAAAAATACACCATTATTATTGCATATATAAGGTGTCACAGTATGAAATATTGTAAGACTGAGGGTAGGTATGCCTATTCAATAAGTCCATTCATGTTAGAACTGTAACGCTGTTTGTCGCTATATTTGTACAGAATCAAACTGTTCAACAAACGGTTAATGGTGTATACAGAACATAATATATGTATAGCAGGGCGGGGCTGGAGAGGTGCAAACGTTTATTTGTTCATTCATTCTCGCAAAAACTACTGAGTTAATAATATATCAAAAGTACGACTGTATACTCGGATCGTAAAGGACAACAAATTTAAAACAATCACATAGGCATCAACTTTTAACTTTTAAGCAATCTGCGAATGGTCTTTGGTCAACCATTCGCCATTAAGTACAATTAATTTTCTAGTGATAAGAATTTGATTGTTTTACACATGGTGCATAATATTTTCTTATAATACTGAAATTTTACATAATCAAACAGACATAAAACGTTACCTTTTAAGTACTGAAATATTACCACAGTAATTAAATCATAAAAATATATCCCAATGAGTTTATACGCACAGTAATAATTATTTTTAAAAGCCGAGGAAATTGTTAAAGTCTGAAATCTTGTTTTCTATAGGTACGTGCCAACTTATATTGTAGCCACAATTAAGTATGCCAATCGAGAAGAATAAATAATGAGTGTACACTGTACAGACCAAAATTGACAAAGAGATATAAATATATATTTATATTTATAAAATCATGATAATTAGGCATCCTAGGAATAATTATTTATAGAAATGCGCCAAAATTAGTGTTTTCAGAATTTATAGCTATACCTCGAGTTAGACAATATAATATAATTTAGTATATTCAAGCATTTTTCAAGTAATTCATCTAACCATAGATTATTAACATTTAAAGTTTTAATTTAATAAACCACAATAGCTTTATACTGATTGGTTTTTCTTTCGATATATGTGTATACATTACACAGTCTATAGTCTATACTATAGTGTGTAGTCACGAGTTGGGCAAAAACTCTATTCTTAATCGATGATAAATAATTGCATTCATTATATTTATCATCGAAAAAAAAAAAATTTGGAAGTACATCATTTGTTAAAATAATTTCAATTAGACTACGAAAAAACCATTATAATATACATATTCTATTATTAAAAACTAAAACAGAACCATTCATTTTGTGTAGTTTTATTTTTATTAATTGTAAGATAAATTTTTAATTACTATATATTGTATTAAATAAACCCATATAGGCAACAATGATAAATATTTATCGAAATGTATGAATTTAAAATTATTGATACATTCATTACAAAATTCAAACAATCAGTAATTCACAGCATTATATTGCCCAACCATGCAGTCTACACAAGACACAAATACACACGCACACACGTCGGGAACCCGACCACATACCTAAATCAAATACAGGATGTATCAATGCGTTTTCCCGTAATAATGGTGTAAAACGCGATGACCCGACTACCGCTGAGAGTAACAATGGCGGAATTTAAAGTTTAACTGTTACATCAATACAACCACTGAGTGCGGGCGGGAATGAAGTGCCATATTATTTACACCCATAAATAATTCGTAAAAACCGTTTCACGTGAAAAGTGACCACTCAGGAGATACAGTCTTGGTTATGCATATCCACACGATAGGTACAGAATACAATGTTTGCCGTGTCGGAACATTTTGTTTTTTTGATTTTATCGATGTAAAAAAAGTGGTTACGGTTAGGTAAGCCTGAGTGGTTGTTTTTAGCGCAAAACGGTTGCCATGTACAAACAATTCATGTGCCACGGTATAAAGTACGCACAATAAATGCTTTACATTTTTTCGGTGATTGATATTGATATTATATGCTTACGGTGATTGAATAGGGACAGAGTGGTGGAATGATGGTGGTGGTAGTTCTGACCGGCCGCCGTTGGATAACAGCCCATGCTGGTCTGCAACGAGTCCATCAGACCGATGCTGTTGACGGCGGCGTACGGCGATGACGCCGCTGAGTTCTTGAGATGGTACGCGGCGGCGGCGGCCTGCATTGACGAGCCTAGTGACGGCGGTGCGCCGCCCGAGCCACCCGCGGCGGCGAACGCAGCGGCCGCGGCAGTAGCAGGGAAACCGCCCAACTCCCCGCCGCTCTCCTGGCTGCATCTGTTCGAGTGGAAAGAAAAACAGAAAAAAATGCGAAAAGCAATCGATTAATAAAAGTCAGTGTGCTTACAACGAAAATAATAGTGCATGGCAATATTACGATGATGGTACGGAGAAAAGAAAAAAACCAAAAAAAAAAACCATAATATTACAGTATAATAATGTATACGTAATAATACTATGTATTGTAGCGGTGGCACTGCGGAGTAAAGGCGTTGATCGTTTTAGTGTCATCGAAAAAAAGTAAGTAAAAAGTCGAGACACATATAGGTATTATAAAACCCGGTTTGACGAAATATACATTATATTATTATATTATACTGTATAAGGTGTGAGAGGGCACATTAAAAAGTTTACATAATATTATATAAACGCACGCGTAGGAATTATACATTGTGTAAAACGTTTTGTACTTACACATAAACACATAATAAACTCACTTTTGTACAAAAAATGTTTTAAACCGTTTCAAGAAGTACATACTATCATTATTACACAGCTTACACATCATAATTATCTATTTAAAACACTAGAAGTATATAACGTGATATTTGGGTACCTGATAATAATATTGTATTATAATTAATTATATTCTAATAGTTTGTTTAAGCTCGTAGTACTGAACTATATAATGTGAGACTTAAAATAATATGTTTGACCGTTGTTATAATATATTATATTTTATTGTAATAATATGTTAAACATCGAGTACTTCCCAAATCCGTCATCGGTTAGTGACGCAAACCTCACTTCTCGTCACTGCAGCTCCAAACTCGTCAACGGATGATTCTTATACATATTTTAAACATTCACGTTCCTTATTGGAGAGATTAAGTATTATTCAATTATTACTTTTACATTGAACAATTTTAGATCTGTAACTGTAGTAGACTATCAAAGTTAAAGCGATATTATAAGCGTCTGACAATAAACATAAGATTTGTGTAAATAGCTTTTTGGTCATTTTCTTTTGAATAATTTGACATTTCGGCTACCAATATATACCATATTTTCATGTTATTTCCTTACTAGTTTCTTCTGGTTTACCGCAAATGTTACGCTATAATCAAAGTTATTTAATTGATTTTATATTTTTATATTTTTTAAATATCTGCATATTAAGTCCATTGACGACTACGCCGTTCAATTTGTAAGGGTTTTGGATCATGTCGGCATAGTTGGTATATATAACGAGACTGTTAGCCAACTTTACAGGTAATGTAGTATTTTATTCTTTTTTGTGTGCGAAAAAAGTATGCTTCAGTGTGTTGTAATCGAGCGCTAATATTAATTATTATTTAACGCAAATAATGCTTAATGGCAAAACGTGTACGCAGTGCACAAAAAAATTAGAACGATTGCCAATACCGAACATTGTATAGCTAACAACTATACATATAGTTAGCTTGCTATAACAAAGCACTCGAATGCTAATTTACTCGAAGAGGCACTTAAATTATTATAAAACTGCTAATAAAAATAGAGTAGGTATCATAATATATTCAGAAGATGCGGAGAAATTATTTAAATGCGTGGGGTATGAGAGATTCTTCCGAATGTAGTGACTATATCCATCTCAAACAATGGAACACGCATCATCAAAAGTTTATGCTCGACGGACCGATAATGGAACTCTACCGAGTCTCGAGTGCAATACCGACTTGCATCATATAACTTGACCTTCAAATTAAAAAAAGCTAGGTACCAAGTTTTATAACACGTTACCATTTTATATTTATTTCACTAATCATTGGATTTTGATGTATTTAAATTTAAATTATTCATTCGTTGTATTGTACTGCTTAACCTTAACCATGCATAATATAATAATATAAATTAAAAATAAATTAAAATAAGGATATCATACAGTAACGACTTGTTAGCAAAGGCATCGGAAGAGCCGCTTTTTGAGCATAATCCACATCGGGCTTAGTTCGAAGACACATCTTTATCCTCCGATATGGATTAGAGGCATCTAATTTTATCGTAATAACACTACGATTGTATTTTACATTACCGTTATAATTACGTGTTCAAACGACTCACACGCATCCAAGTTTGATAATAATATATTTTAGTTATCACCACTGATTCGGTGCCTGGACGTCACCAGAACCCACGCGAATATACGAGGGAGGTATATTATACACTACATAAGAAACTAAGAATTAACATTTAAGATTATTGACATTTATGAATACGCTGTCTTTGTCACTTGTTATTTTAATGCAGTAATTACTGCATTAATTGTTATTAATTAATAACTGTAATTAATTGTTGTGTTATTATTGATATATTAATTCTTCGAGCTTTCGCGTACATAATGCATAAAATCGTAAAACACTCAGCGCATACAATTATACTAAGTAGGTACCTAATAATAATAAAAATAATAAATTCATAAAAATAAAGTTTGTGAAATAGATAAATGATCGTATAAAACAAATCTGGTAAAGTTTCGATTTTTATTATTATATTATATACGTAATAGGATCAAAAATGCAACAAAGCTATAGTTCAATAGTTGTAAGAATTGGTATAGGTATAAATTATTGTGATGTTCGTTATAAATAAATATGATTTTGAAACCGAAGTTTTTTCGTCAATAATAAATGATAAAATATATTAACAGTTATTAGAAATGTAAATGTATTTCACTACAAAACCACCACATACAGCATAAATAAACCTCGAAAATGCACTCAAAAATCAAAATTTAAAAACTACAAAAATTTATCAAGATTTATTGATAAAAAACTATATTATTAATTATTTTAGGTAGTTTAGAAAAATAAAAATATATTTAATTCATACAAATAGGAATATACAAATAATAAATTAAGTATTTAACTTGAATAAGAAAATAGGTAGTTAACAAAAAAAAGTTATACAGTCCGTGTAAAATATTATTAATTAAGCAGTACAAAGTAGGTACTATTATACAAAACGTGTAAAATATTCATGGCATAAATTAAAAAAATATTCATAAAATTAGTGCAATAATTTTTAATTTATGGAAATGATTATAAATATCATCAAACTGAATAATTAATTTAGGATAAAAGTTTTAAAATGTAATTCGTTGGTTCCTAATTTAAACTTTGAGTTAAACTGATATAAAATAAACTAAAACGAATCCTTTTTAATACAAAATAACAGCCCTTCTATAATTACTATCTTATACTTCAATAATGTAATGGTATAGCTAAAATTGTTATTAAGATTCTAGGTTGATAGTAGGTGGAGCATCATTTTTTTGTGTAAAATCTTAATAAAGTTTATAAGCATAAAACTTGATAATTTTCATGGATTATTATTCTTATTATTATTTAGGTGTTTGGAAATATTGAGTTATTTTAACAAAATCCATATGAAACAAAAGTCAATACTTCTGTACGTGTTTAAACTTAGTCATAATATAAGTAGGGCAATTGGTCTGAAAATTAAATAACGAACAAACAAATAAATCGTACACGACTGCCCAGCTACGGCTTACGATATGTGAGTTACGGACCCCACTGGAAAGAACTATAAAAAATGCTTGGATTAATATGCCTAGATAAAATAAATATATTTGATCCTAGGAACTTATTCAAGGCAACAATAAGGTGGATTTTGATGGTGTACCTACCTATTATATTTTACGGTATAATAGTATGCAAACGGGACTTTCGAACGTTTTGTATTAGGAGTTTCACACCGTCGCGTTGTTGCCGCCAATGTGTCTGCGTGGACGAAAAGCGAGGGCGACCGTCAGACTGTACATTATAATAATATTGTTGTATGTGCACATGGACAATATTATATGGTAGGCACCTACCTTAACCGTACGCAATACGTCTCGATGGGCGGCACAAGTCGGGTATGCGTGTGACATAAATATTGGATATATATATATATAATATATATATACAATACCATAATATTATAATGTACGGACGACCGAACAAACATATAGTTGCGTGCGTGTACGGTGGTCATTGTTCGCGCCGAACGCGTACGTGTCTTTTCCGGTATTCAGCGTAAGGGCCCAGTCAGCACAGTCGTACCCTCCGACAAAACGATGTTTTTACGCTCATATATGTGACTTATATACAATATATACCTATCGTATATAAGTATATATTTACATGTATAGGTATAGCGCAATGTTGGTATGTATTTATCTATATAATATATACATATGATGCTATGTGTGCATATGACGCAGGAGATCGTGGACCTACGGCGCTGTCAGCATCCTGACAACAGTCGCTCGGCGAGATCGTCTTTTTTATTCTTATTATTCTTCTTCTTCTTTTCTATTTCTTCATCGTATTTTTTCTCTTCCAGAGCCAAGGTCCGAGCCAGGAACACCCACACACTCGTGTAGGTACCTACTAGTATATATACTGCGTAGAGACTCTACGTTACAGTGTGAGTGTGTTTATATTATTTTTTATTATGCATAGTATTCACCCGCTGAATCGTACACACACAATAGTTAGGTAGACAATATATGTCGGTTTTTACGACCACCGGAACTGTTAGGTTAGGTTATCTGGTTTATGGTTACTATAGGTATATTGCCTGCACGTTATTATTACACTTGTAGCATATTATATGCCTATATATAGAGCAAGAATAGGATCGCCGACAAATAGACCGGCGCTATATATTAGGTGTAGATATATAATACACTTGTCATGTGTATTTTAACGCAGAACGTGATTATCTATATCCGTCATCGCGTGTAGGCGCTCTCTCTATTATTCCCATTGTATACGTTGTGATTTGGTTTTTTCCCGCGTACATCGGATCCAGATTATGCCCTTATCACAATAACTGCAGTCGGCCAAAAGTTACATATTATATTTTGGTTGGATTTATTTTAATATTTTAATTTATTATTGGTTGGGTGTTTTGTATTCTTCAGATTTTATTCAACGGTCCTTGGCGATTTAAAACCGAATAAATTTGTCGATTTCGAATGGGTTCCGTTTTTTAGAATCCATAATACATAATATGTATAGGATTTTATGTTTGCATTAATGTTAGAACTCGGATATCACGAGAAGGTCAGCAGCTTATGTTCTGCTAATTTTTCTGTCTCACAACAACGTAGACAGCAATAATTAATACCATAATACTTCCAACTTAAAAGATTATGGCCATAGAACATAACCGGCTTAATAAAACAATTAAAACGCTTAATATAGTTCAGGAAACATTGCACAAGTACCTTGGGGATTTTTTAATTTAGTTTTCAGTCAAATTATCGCCTTTAAATGGATTTTCTTTGACAATTTAAACATTATAATAATGTTTTGAAGTACCAAATTTCTAAGAAAGTCTATTCTATAGACTTTATAACGATTATACAAAATGAATACGGTTTCTGAGGTTCCGACAAACGCAGGACTAAATTAAATGGGTTCGAAAATCGGAAATCTCAGAATCATTTCTTTCACTCGTTCCTAGTAAATAAAATTGTACTTGATATTTATGAGTTGTCGTCTTATAGTCTGCTGCAGTACACAAACATGTTATTAAACATATATGTAGGTACGCGATATGATATGATTGTACTGTTGGGTCGGCCAGGGTCCTAGACCTAGTGGCGTGGCATTTTCATTGTCACACTATATTGTATATTATATTATTATATTATTGTTGTAAAAAGGACCGATCGTCCGAATCTCAGCCGACGGTTTTTTTTGTACGGGACACGTACGAGCACGACGACTGACAATAAACCTCAGTTTACGTTTATTATTATTATTATTGGTAAATGTATTATCATCATTATTATTATTTGAAAAACACTCAGATTTGAACGAAATGCGTCTTTTACATACGATCAATAATAATAATAATAATAATAATAATAATATTGTATTTTATTATACGTTACCGACAATGACAATATATAATAATATATAATAACACATTACCAAGGCGACAGTAAAATAACAAGAGCGCATCGGTGGGTACCGGATTTCGAGGGAATAATCTTGCGACACAACGGGAGAAATTTAAAAATCGGATGTTTACAACAAAAATATCGTCATACCTATTTACGAAGGGATAAAACCCTTACCTACCACCACCCTTAGGTATAATAATACGCACTGCTCTTATGGTCACCGCCGACCATAATTATTATTGTTGTTGTTATATCACATGTACAATAGTCAGTTTAGGAGGTAGGGTATCCGCTTGTACCATATAATATACCTAACATGATATAATAATACTGGATTCAGCATTATTACGTCGTATATGTGCTAAACAAGACCGAACAATCGACGATACACATAATACATATACCAACGCTTATATTCAATGATGATGTTATATATACTTACGGGCAGCACCAAACCGACTTTGGCGCGAGTGTCGCATACTATTGCCACCGATACGTTGCGAAACATACGCGAAAAATAATGATAATTTATTGTAACGCGAGATAATATTGAAATACGGTCGACGGGTACACTTTGTAATTTGTACCATCTTGATCGTAGGCATGCATGTTTATGTTATATTTAAAATATAGGTGTACATATTATACCATATATACCTAGGATAATATATGCAGACAAAAAAAATAGTATTTAACACGACTACAAAACTTACCCAGATGACAGGCTATTTGGCCACATAAGATGTCGATGACACCTGTAACAAAACAAAAATAAAAAACTGTTAGCATACATTTCGATACACGTAGATCTTATTCTATAGAAGAGACGACGATTCCGCGCCATTCAAAAAGTTCGAAACATTTTTGTGGTTCAATTTATCAAACATCTAGTGATAATGGACGAACAGACGATAGTTGAATTTCATCTGCTGCATCGTAACCTGCGCACCGAATGTACGATGCAAACCAAAAATAATAAAAGATCGATTTCAGATTTGTCGACTCACTTACGATCACGAATATACTTGCAGCGCTCTGTATATGACAGTGTTCCCGCTACAGCAGTATAATATAGGTACCGTACGTAGACACGTCGTTTCGAGTATTAAAGTCGAGTACTCGTGCTGTAGGCACGCGGCGATTATGTAGGTATTACACTACTACCTATTATTATATACTATAGATTTACAACTAGAGGTAGGTACTACACACTTCTACTACTAATACTACTACAACAATATACAACCGCTTTATGTATTATAATATCGTTGTATATGCTATACACCATAGTATATATAGTTAATACAATAAACACGTACGTCAATCGCTGTACGATGACGTCAATGAGAGCTGTCGCAGTCGAGTGTCATGCGATAATATAGTACAACAATATATATAAGTTTGCTAATACATGGGTACCTCCGATATAATAATAATTAATACATAATAATATAATAATATGTAGTATAGGTAAGCAGAGCAGACCGCCGGTGAGTGGACACTATTTTTTTTACACACAGCAGCCATTATCGTTAAGCTACGACTCGAAGATAGCAATAACAATATGTCTACATAACAATATATATTATTATACAAAGGTACCCACGTTCTCGGCTACTTAATATAATATATATATATATATATATATACATAAAAGGTGTGCATATACATATATGAAGGCGTATATGCCTAATATGTGTGCCCCTGTCGATTGTTTGCTTAGTTCGAAACGTTTAGCCGGTATTGCCGCTGTCCGATGTGTCGAATGTACATCATCATCGCGATAATAGGTACGAGATGAAATAAACTTGTCGACGAGTGGGCGGGTAGGGAGAACGGCCTTACATGTATATTGCAAGGAACGTTATTATTATCACGAAAAAACACTACAAATTCACTGGGGCGACTCGGGTATTGTCCTGCGTGGATACGAGTACCTGTCACTGGTGGTGGACCTTCTCGGAACGCATATTTGAAAAAAAATAAAGAGATTTTTATTTGATTTTAACGCGTGCGTTTCATCTGTATTATGATGTACAATGAGATTCCGGTGTCCGGCTATTGGCGTGTCACGCGTTTTCTTTCGAGATGCGAGATTGCCGACACCTGCGGCAACAACGTCGACGATATAAATGCTCCATATATATACATCATAATAATGCTCTTGGAAACGATTTGGCAAGGCATTCGCGGTCTCCGAACGAAAAGAGTTCTTTTGAACTGTTTTTATTTCCAACGTTGTTTCACGTTTCCGGTGCAGACATTTGCAGATTACGACGATTTTTGTATTGAAATATACTTAAAGTTTACCTAAAAATCACTGCAAGTACAAAGTAATTCGTCTTAAAGTCATACCTATTTCGAAAGCTTTGAACGATTTTTTATTTTTTAATGTTTGTGTTAATATTATACCTATACTAATAAAACTTGTGAAAGAACAAAAAACATTACGGAATAGATATAGGTGGGTACTGTAATGTAGATATTATATAAATTATATGTTATACCTACATTTACATAGGTTTATATAGATATATATACAATACTCGATTGGAAAATCGTAGGCCATTCGAGTGTTTTGTATAATAGGTACATGTGTGGGATATGTCAACAATCGGTATTAACAATGCTCGGTGTTTTCGATAGTGGTTCGAGTATCGACGCGGTTTATCGCTGTGATGCTCGAGTATTGTACCTATAACTTTCGAGAGGACAGCAAACACGGAAAATACGATTGTTATCAGACTCCGATAACGCAAAATTATTTCATACGAAGCACATCACGACGAATGGTTAGATCACTGCGGATTGAAGAAATATATATTTTAAAATAGTTTTGGCATAACGTCCGGAAGACCGGGAAGAACTGAACAATAGTATTGCCTATACTGACTTTTAAGTAGATTAATTATTAACACACTGTACTGTTAATTCAATATTTAATAAATGATTATTTAACATATTTTTACTAAATTATTTTATACCGATGTGATAATTTATTTAAGTTATTGTAAGATCCCGTACAGAGACGATATAATTTTGTAATCGATTTTTAACCGATGGCGTCTGTTATTATAGATATATAATAGGTATACGTATATAATAGAGTCATCGGGCGGTAGTCGCGATTACAGTACGTGTATATTAAATATAACCATAAAATAATCAAGCACTTCCGCGTGAACCATGTAGTTAGCTATATATACATATGTCTTGCTATAGGTTTATTTTAGGACTGGCTAGAGTTGTTTATAATTTATCCAATAAAATATAGCCTCGTACCTTCGCCAGCGCGTTTGGGGAGCAGAGTGGAATTTCTAACCTACAGGGATTCAGAATCTGCGTTTCTTGTACATTTTACTCCGCCAATAAAAGATGCGATCAGCGAACGGGAGGAATATAATATGATACAGCACCGTGAAAGCGGTTCCATTTAAATATTCCACGGTATTTCTGTATATTATAAAAGAGGGGAAAAACACAGCAAACCAGAGCTTTGTACTTTTGTTAGTAAATTCACAATCGTACCTACCAGCTGCAGCAGTAAACGATATTGTATATTTTATAGATACACGAGTATTTGCACGATATCCACGAGCAGTCGAACGTGATGAATAATAATAAGAAAAACACGGGAGACCGACTTCACGGCGAACGGCACGCGCTGATGCGAGGAACACGATTATAATAATTTTTCCCGCATATATATTATATTAAAATATACGTACACTGCAAGTATAAAAGGTACCGCCCAGGGTATTTTTTTGTTTTTAAACAGGTTTTCGTTGTTTAAAACAGAGTATTTGTTTCAGAAAACGAAGAAATACGAATTTTAACAACCCCGCGCGGACTTCATATAATAATAATATAATAATATATCGCTTGTGCACTCTTGTGCAGTCACGACGGCCGCCATCACGATGCCGCCATAACGTCGACTGACTGCGCGAACCGGTGGCTGGTGGAGTGTGGTAGGGGGACCAGCGCGAGAGGGGAAATTTTCCCTTGTATAATATATACTCGTGTATAGAAGCTATTGTCGTTGTTATTGTTTCGTTTCGGTTTTTTCTTTTTTAAACCGGCCCCCTAGTTTTAGAAAAAAAATTAGCCTTCTAAGCAGCTGCTATTTACACGCCAACAATGGGTTCGCGCATTATATATTGTACATACATATAATATATGATGTGATGATCGGCAACGCGGGGGAAAACGCGCGTGCATAACTTCTCGTCGAACGCGCCCGCGTCATACATAATAATATAATATATTATTATTATTATTATTATTATTATTATCACAGGCCTCGGCGGAACGGGTCGGCGGTAACGGTTTGGGTGCGCGCGTTGTATACAGCAGTTAAATTTTATGTTCACCGCCAATGCAGGCAGTGATAATAATATTATATACAAGCCAACCAATATCGACGACGGCTATAGGTAGGTATATATAATATATAATACTTACCACACATACGGAACCCGCGGGGTGTCGTTTCGATTTTTTCCACACCGTATGAGTATATAGTATAGTATATAGTATATGGTATAATATAATATAATGGGTATACAACGCCGAAGAGCAACCCATATAATATATTGTAGTCGAGCATAATATAGACCGTATAACCTATACTTAGGTACTCAACGCCATACTTTATTAGATATATTATTATATTATCGTGATCATCATAATCATAATTATATGTACATCGAAATCGGAAAAAAATTTGAATATATAATAAAGCATGCGTTTTTAATTCCAGCCACCCCGATGAGCAATACCGTCCTTATAATTTACATGTACATATATATAAAATAAATATAATCGCATACAATGTTATAGGTATATTACTTTAATTATTAGTTGTTAAGTGATTATACTATTTTTTGCGGTTTTTTCGTATACTTCAGAATGCTAATGTTAAGAAATTGCAACGAGAAGGCATAAGTAGGTATATTATTATTAATTATAATTCTTGGGTAGGTATATAATTTTTTACACACGAGTCGCAAAATGGAACCTTGTTAAATTTTTTTAAGTAGGTATCTTATGCTTATGGGTCTGCAATTTAATCTAACTTTAAACCCAACTGTTTGACGTTCAACATCATATAATATATTAATAAAATAGGAACACAGATATTACCATTATGCATTATATGGACGTAGCTTATATAGTATACAATTGTATAAAATAATGCAATAAAAAAATTGAAATCGAGACTATAATATAATTGTTTGCTATAGGTACTGTTCTAAAAAACGATGTTGTGATACTAAAATGGTATCGAATAACCCACCAATGTATACGTCATAAGCTAAAAAAGTAAAGTCATACGTTTCCATATTGATACAGGCTATACGCCCTGCCTATATGGTATGGTATGTCAGCTGCGAGAGAAAAGTTATTATTATTGTCCCCGTTATGTTGTTTATTGTGTGCACAAAAGCTGCGAAACGCCGAGCCCCCCTCCCCCCACAGATTTCCATCGCACAACCCCGGCGAGTCCATTCGTCGCGTTCGCGGCTCGCGTATTATACGTATCTGCATCATGCATAAATTATCATGACCCGGGCGCAATGGTACGCATACATTTGTCGTAACCCTTATTTTTTTTACCTGCACCACGCTAGAACGCAGCGGCATATAAAAGGGACGTACACGTATGGGGCGGTTCGGAAAGGGTTGATTCTCGCGCGTAGAGGGGGACAGTATTAGAGACGAAAAAAACCGTCGTCGTTTGTACAATATATAA